CTAATCCTATTTTTGTTTTCAGGCACCTCCAGAAGGACCCCTCCACGGTGTGGGCGACTGGGAATTGAAAACCGCCCCCAAATGCACTGGTACGGTCGAGAGTGGGGTAGTACGCTCTCCCTCCCGAAATGCTCCCACATGGTTACGTGTATATAGCCTCTTCTAAGGAAGTCCTACTCACTGCCTTCTCGTGGCGGGGGTGTTTACGAAATTGAGAGAAAAAAAAGCGAATGTCCGGTGCTTTAACCGGGTTGGTGGACAAGGAGATTCCACCTAGGGGAGTTGAAAATCCCTGATTCCAAACCAATGGTTCACATGGGCTCCAGTATCATGAAGGAACAAATGGCGTATGAACCCATTGTTGGTCACCAGCTGCCATGGGACTGCATCTCCTTACGATGCTCCACTGCCTTGTGGATCAGACCTTCAGGTCGAAGGCTCCGGGTGTGCCCCCCCAAGAAAATCACCTGCTTCGGTTTGGGCACCCGGGCAGTATCACAGCCCTCACACATATCAAATGGGATTTGTGTGGCGCATATGTATTTGGTGCCTCCTTGTACCGATATCTATGTCTCCGAAACACGCATACAGAACCCTTGAGTGGTCAGTCACTTGACCTCACTTCGGCAAAACGGAGAGCCGACGAGATACACCCTTCGTGTATCTGGCGACCCGATGGCTAGTTTCTCGTGGGTTGGCAGGTGTAGGCATAGCACTAAGCATGAGGGTGGAACAAGCACTATTAGAGTGGATCCCTGTGATGTTCGGTTAAACGGCTCCGTAAGAACTCGGAAAGATAGGGACACACGTCGTTGCCTTTTTGTCGTTTCTGCCTACGCTCCCACTGACTACAGCTCGGATGAAGTGAAAGATGAATTTTACAGAAAGCTATCTGAACTTCTTCAGAAAGTTAAACGTTCAGACATAGTACTCGTAGCAGTGACTTTAATTCCAAGGTAGGAATAGACCAGTTGTGACATCTACTAGTGATTTAAACCACAGGGTTACAAAGAACCAATGGATTTCCTCAAGGTCTATTGCACTGATGGATTCTCGTAAACTCATCCCATCAGGCTCTGAACACGATGAAGAGCGACAACAAATCAGATCTGGGTTAAGCAAAGTCTAATGAACGACCGTAAGCAGTGGTAGGCAACGAAAGCAAAGAGATGGAAAAGGCGGCGGCTATAGGGAACACAAGACAGCTCTACAGACTTATAAAAGAAACTGGAACTAAAAAGTCAAGTGTAAAAGAGACTATCTCGGAAAAAGACGACACTCTCATCAGACGTTTAGAACGATGGGCGAAACATTCTAGAGAACAGTTAAGCTGGCCTTCAGCTACTCTACAACTACTCACCATTCCCAGACAGCCTGAATGAAACATTGAAGTAGGTCACGCAACTCGAGCTGAAGCTCAAAAGGCTATAGTTAATCTGAAACAAGGAAGGGCAGCTGGTCCACATGGATTGGCTCTAGAGGTCGTTAAGGATGGTGGTCCAATTTTAGCGATTAGGTTGACTAATATTTTAACTAAGGTCTGGGACTTGGACGTAATCTCATCTGACTGGTCACAATCACTTATCGTCCCAATATATAAGAGGGTTAAAATCATCCTGTCAGTCAGCTACAACGTAGGACCAGGCACATATGTGCATCGGTCCAGGTTGCCATACCGCATCAGCACAAGATGAACACCGGATTCATAGCAGTGGTTAGGTCAAAGGTAGTAATATGTAAGAGAAAGATTGCATATAGAGATATAGTACAAGAAGAAAGAATTGGTTCGTAGAAAGAAAGATATGAAGCGATTTTAATCTCTTAGTTTAAGGGAAGACAGGGAGTGTATACACCGACGCCATTGTGATCGATTCTGAGCCATGTCACCAAGAGTCTCCAACCATTGGTTACAATAGTCACGCGGACCCCAACCAAATAGTCTGCATCTACCAACATGGCTCAGACTAGAAGTTAGTGACTTCAAGCACTGATGCCACGTTTTGGTTTGGCCGCCCCTAACTTTCTTCCAACCATCCCCTACACCGGTTAGCATTGCACGTCGTGGTAATCGGTGTTCAGGCATACGTAATACGTGGCCCAACCATCTCAGTCGATGAAGATTCATAACCTCATCAACTGATTTACCATGTCTGAGCGTTTAGCTTTCTGTAAAATTCATCTTTCACATCATCTGAGCTGCAGTCAGTGGGAGCGTAGGCAGAAACGACGAAAAGGCAACGACGTGTGTCCCTATCCTTCCGAGTTTTTACGGAGCCGTTTAGCCATCACAATGGCGTAGGCGTATACACTCTCTGTACTCCCTTAAACTATGAGATTAAAATCGTTTCATATCTTTCGTTCTACGTACGAAATCTTTCTTCCTGTACTATATCCTTATATTCAATCTTTCTTTTACATATTACCACCTTTGACCTAACCACTCCTATGAATCCAGTGTTCATCTTGCTGTGCTAATGCGGTATGGCAACTTGGACCGATGCATATATGTGCCTGGTCCTATGTTGTAGCTGACTGACTGACTGACATAATCAAATGCGGATGAAACAACAAAAGAGCCACTTCAAGTAAAAAATAATGCGGCTGAGTAGATATCTGTTAAGACTTATGGGCCGTAAAATTTGAGATCTAGTCCCATCTAGTACATTTATCTTACATTGAAGAGGCCAGATAATGTGACCCGACTTAGCTACTATACAACTCCGCTTACAACTGAACAACCCAGCTATGAAGGAGACGACTAAAACTACAGGATTTTGTATGCCCGAATCTGAATAATAATACGACATACGTTTATTTATGGGTGGCCGAACTATTTAAGATAACGACTAGGCGAATAATCTACTTACAATAAATCCCTTACTCTTGAGACATGTGAATTCTCTAGTTAAGCTAAACATAACACCCAAACACTATATAGGTGACTAGGTTATATCAGACTGTGTTAATCAGTTTATGTGCGTATAGAGACACATCGAGTGGAGAAATCGTAATATCCTATACGTGATGACTGAATATGTACCTAAACGGTAGGAAAACTAATGAATAAATTGTAAATTTGATGGGATCCTTGTCTATTGCAAACTTGTTTAATAAGTATATTTGACGATAATGTATAACATGAGAGAAAGGATAGCATCAAACTATCATTATGAATCATGGGATTTTCTTAGACTGTTTTAACGTGTTGAATCTAACCAAAACGTACTCGGCAGGCAAACTATTAATATTGTATAAAACATGTTTAGTCACTTAATCAAATGTCGATAAACACTCATATTACCGCCAACTGTGTTTATAAGTACTTGCCAAAACAGCTATATTGGTCGAACAGAAAAGGGGCCGTATCTTACATTTTTGAATACGTTTCAAAAAGTCTTCGAACAAGAGGGAACTACTTTAAACAGCACAATTACCAAACATCTGTTGGATAAAGGACATAAACTCGACACTTTGCAATCCTTCAAAATGATTCGTAAACAGTCAAGCTCTAGTCTATTAAAACCGTTGCTAACGGGCGTCAGAAACCTGATTTAAGCGTTCGAAAGATTTAAACCTTTCTTAGCTTTGGTAACATGAAAATTATGTTCAATCTTCCTTCAACTAATTACGTACATTGTCTTTTTATTCCGTTTGTCTTCTAAGCTAGTGATCTTATCTTTATAGACTGAGCTTTACTCACTTTATTCTTACGTATTATCAGCGTTTACTCGTTACGTTTCTAGCTCTTTGGACTTTTGTTAATATCTATGTCGTAGAATTTTCTTTCCCATAATATATATATTCACAGTTGTTATAATTTCTCTTATTACGACGCAGCTATTCTTATTGCTTAGTATTCTTGGACACCAAATCACTCGACAAGTCCCTAAATCAGAATACGGTTGATCAGGAACGAAATTATATTCCAAATAACAAGGGTAGATAGAAGTAGGACTTACAATAAGAAAAACGTTAGAATATTTATGGTTTTTCTAGAGTCTTCAAGTATCCACTAGCACTGATTAGTCAAGAAATAACTAATCAACGTGCCCCGACATAATCTTGCACGGAATGTGCTTTAATTCAATTTATATTCCGCTAACAACAGTATTCCATTCAGTCTATTGAATTCATTTACACCCTTGCTATACTATACTGTCGTGTCTTCAAAGTAACTTCCAACTAAACTCTTCCATGTATGTAATTATAATTTTTAAATGTCACAGGTTGTAAGCAGCTGACGACGACCAAACGAAATAAAATGAATTCATGCTATTCTGCTGAAATCTTTGTCCATGTTACCTTACAAGTACTATCGTTGACAGCAACGAATAGGTTAAATAACACAGAACAACAGAATTAGTCTGATGACACAAACACATAAAACAAACATGTGAAGACGTCTAGACACACTACGGTATCATGAATACAGTCTACACATAGTACACTAAATCTTCACACACTAGGCACTGATAACAAACTCAGAGAAAATCTGCCATCGTATCATGGAACGATAGCAAAATATGTTGGTATTCAAGTTTCTGGGACGTATTGTTTGGATGTCGTCTTGTAGAGCAGAACTAAACCGTCAACAAGTGTCTTTTTGAGAGATGATATATCAGAGAAGCAATGAAAGATCTCACAAACGAATCTTCATCATATGATTATGCTTTATTTTACACTGTATAATTGTCATATTACTTTGAAGATGCATCTATTGATATCTCAAATTACAGGCAACTTTTAAAAAAAGAATTGAAACAATTATTCTGAAATAGTTTGATGAAACAATGTCGTTTGTCTAACTACAGAAATATCTATTGTAAAATAGGAATGTGTCACCAGTGTTAGACAAGAGAATTTTGTTGTATTCTGAATCTGGTATATATATAGCAAAAATGGAGAGATATGAGTGGTTCAAGTGAAATATAGATGATCATGAATGATGCATTTATCACCGAAAAATTGACATACTACTGTTATATGTGACTGGTTGTTTTCTAAGAGGCGCAAACTGCACCGGAGTCTATACAAACAATCGCATTATCCAATTGCTGAAGTTCAGCTTCTGAAGACTTATTCACTTCAGCTCCGTCACGAATCAGCATTCGCTGCAACCGGAGTAATTCACGCCAACCAGGCAAAAAACCAGCACTTTCTTCAGTTGGTGGACCTATTGGCTCTCGTACGTGAGACACATGAATGCTATTGTTGCTAAGGCAATCCAGACGACGTAGAAGTGGTTTGCGAATGGGTTCAACTTTGTCATCAGCAACACCCTTGGAATTGGTGGTATTAGGGACACTAGAAACAAAAATCAGAATGTTGGCATACGCTCAAAAGAACCGTAAATGAAAAATGACGAATTCATGTATCCATGAATTTATACTGTGACTACATATACGCATATACAATCACGTGAATTTACAAACATTAGATAGATTACCGAACTTTGGCTCAAGTTTGTGATTCATACATCCTGTTCGCAAACAATAAAAATAACCGATTGCTTGATGAGATATCGACTACTTAGTTATTATTTGTGCCTATGACCAAACACTTATGAAGTGATATTAATTTTTTTTTATATTTTAGAGATTAAACCAGTGTGAAAATGGTTGTTATCGCGGATCGGCATCAGGTGGGAGAACCTCTGGAAACTTTGGAGCACTGGGTAATCATTTTATCTTAGTTTGAGGCAGCGCTTCAACAATGTTTACCAAGAACCGTACCCACGACTTCTAGGTCCCACAGAGAGCGCTTTATCTATAGATCACTGACATGGAATCGAGTGGTCAAGTCAAATGTAGAGCTCCTATCATCCAATATCATAACCGAAAAAAACTATCACGTTAAATTTACTAGTGAAAGCTCTGTGTAAACAACCATTATAACCAAAACCAATAGTTTTCATGCACAGGAACTCACTGTGAGCAGAATAAATAGATTAGTTTATGGCATGAATGGCTATTGAAACTCGTATCATTTCTGTCAAGAAATTAATTTCTAATACGAAATACTCCCATTGATAAAATGACATCTCACTAACAATACTTATCATGTAATGAACACCCAATAATGTTTACATGATTTTATGGTGTCGCTTTGAAAATCAAAGCGGTAAACTGTTAGTGAATCACTGATATATATTTTTTGTGGTCACATTTGTTACTTTGCTTTTCATGAATACAATTTAGAAAACAGCAAGATCATCAATAATGAGGACAATTTGTATTGCGTACGGTGTTACAATCTCTCGTACTATGACCCAGTTAGTCTTATTGCTTAGTATTCTTCATACACTTTACTTCACTAGGTAAGTTCCTAGATCAGAAAACGGTTGAACAGGAACATAATTATATTTCAAATAAAAAAGGTTGAATGGAAGTAGGAATTACAATGAGAAAAACGTCAGTATATTTATAATCTTCACACAAGATTCTAGAGTCTTTCTCAAGTATCCCCTGGTGCTGATTGGCTAAGAAATGGCCAGTCAGCGTTCCCTAACACGATTCTGCACGGAACATGCTTTAATGCAATCTATAATATCCCACTAACAATACATCAATAACAAATAATTCATATATCACTAATGCCTCATTTGACCATAATTAGTGTATTTTTCGGCAACCTCTTTTACTTGTAGACTCAGGTTATGTGTCAGGTTAAGAAAATCTGACAACCGATATCTAAATATAATAGAATTTTCGCGAGGGATGTTTCAAAAAAAGATTATTTACGCAGAAATTTGACTACTTTGAAGTACTTTTTCAAGCTCTGAGAAGAAATGCACCTTTTTAAGCTTATGTAGTAGCTAACGGTGAAGCTAATCGAAGCAAATACGGATAAGTGCGTATAATATCATTTGAATGCTTAGTTTTTTTAACAATCTTGATTTGAGCAGGCGGTCGAAGATCAACAAGCTTCGCACAAGTGACCTCAAAGAAATGAACCAGTAACTCGTCACGGAGTTGCCTGAATAAGTTGATAAGCAGTACTTACTATAAAACATGATTTGCGATAAACGAAAAGATATGGCAATTAGGGGAACTTACGTCTTATGTTCAGGTTGGTTTTTATTCAGTTTTTTATTGCCATGACCTTGTATATAAAAAAATAATTACGATAATTTAATAGTAAGTGAAAGTATAATTATCGACAAAAACAGCTTTCGAAATAGAGCAGAACGGAACCATATTCATAAGCAATGTAAGGACTTGTGAAATGTATCGAATCAAGTTACTACACCACACTGGGATTAAATTATCAAGATGTATATTGGGGCAGTAGAAATAGCAGTATCAGTGTTAGTTGAGAAATTAGGCATAGATAGTATACTTTCAAAAGCATGAATTCAGACAATAAAAAAGAAGTATAAGATAATTCCAAACCTCAAAAGTCAAATGAAGACAAGGAGTAGATGAATTTAGGGTACTAAATTCGACTCATAACATAGTAATACAATATCTTTTTTTTTTTTTTGAACACATAAATATTGGTACAATAGGGCACCAGAGATATACGCGCCACACAATAACAATGAGAATGGGAAGAGAAAAAAGATGTAAGGTGCGTATAAGAGAGAAGAAAGGAAAAAAAGAGAACAATAACGATCACAGATTAGGGTATGGTAGTGTAATAATAATAATACTAATAATAATAATAATAATAATAAATAATAATAATAATAATAATAATAATAAATAATAATAACAATGGGGGAAACAGAAAGGTACAACCAGAAAGAATTCTTTCACTCAAGGAAGTTACAACCACTTTATAAAAAAAAGTAAAAGAAGCTTACAGCGGGATCGCCACTAGCTTATATTCGGAGCCATATCTGATAACGTCTCTAGACACCACGTTGCACCATCTCTCAGAACCCAACCAGGGAGTCGTGAAGGACCAACAGAAGCCAGTCCTTTGCAGCTTTCTTTCATACCACGACACCATGTCATGTACTGACCACCTCTCCGCTTCTTCCAACCGATCCCAGAGTCGGCAAATAATGCACGACGTGGAATTCTCTGGGACGACATTCGGAGAACATGTCCAAGCCACCGAAGTCGGTGTTTCAAGATGGTGACACCAATTGAATTATCATCTCTGTGCCCGAACACACGATGCCGAACCTCTGCATTACTAACATGGTGTTGCCACTAGATGTCAGCAATCCTTCGGAGACAGCGATGATCAAACACAGAGAGTCGTCTAACATCCTCAACTCGGAGAGGTCAGGTTTCCCAATCATAGAGCAAAACTGCTCTCACCGACGCGTTGTAGATCCGACCCTTTACAGCCAGACTGAAATGACGAATGCGCCATAGATGGCCCAGATTGGCATAAGCCGCTCTGGCTTTCACTATACGTGCATTGACCTCATCACTCACGCCACCACCAGCACTTATATAGCTACCTAGATACACGAACTTCTCGTATCCTATTTCAGCTTTCTTTTAAATATTATTAGTGCTAACTAACAAATGATAGAATACTTCTTAAATATTATTAACTGTATTAAATGTTGAAATTAGATATAATAGTTTACATCTTAAGATTTTAAACACAAAGAGTATTTAGAGCAGACGGTCGTTTTCAATAAATTCTTCGTTAGATTCTACAGTTACAAAACTAAAAGAACCATTTATGTGTTACATCACCTTAGTCAAAACTTAATTTCTTCTCACTCTTTATGTATAATCTTTCTCATCATTATCAGTGATGTTATTTTATTAGTAATCTGTCGTATTAGAGACTTTACTCATTTTCAATTCTAACTTGAATCGATATAATTTTAATGCTTCAACTATTGCAAAACAATAATAATAATAACAATTTTGTTTTCATAACTATAGAGATTGATGAAGAAGTTATCGAAAATGACCGTTCGGTATAATACATTTTGTTTTTGAATATTCTATGTAAACTTTTAAATTGCCTTAAGAATTATGAAGTTATTAATAAACTAGTCAATAGATGAATTGTTATTTTTGTGTAAACTAGTGTACTATTCTAAAGACTAAAATGTATGCAAATTAAATAACAGATTTCAAATTATCTCAAGATTTGATCCGTCTACTGAATTTTTATGATAATAATCAGTAAACTGATTATTGTCATTGTTATAAACAATGATAATGTCACAATTGATTGATCACTGGTGGTGATTAATCTCATGCTTGTCTAGTCCTTATTAGTTCAAATCGAATGCTATCGATCATGTTGCAATGTGACCACCAGTCTAGGTGACTCAACACTGCGGGCACTATGTATTGAGATTTAGATGGTAGTTGGAGGTAGTCAACAGGAAACCCTGATGGCCACATTGCAACATGATCGATAGCATTCGATCTGCACTAATAAGGACTAGACAAGCATGAGATTGATCACCACCCAGTGATCAATCAATTGTGACCTCTCCGCTTTCTCCAACCAATCCCAGAGTCGGCAAATAATGCACGACGTGGAATTCTCTGGGACGACATTCGGAGAACATGTCCAAGCCACCGAAGTCGGTGTTTCAAGATGGTGACACCAATTGAATTATCATCTCTGTGCCCGAACACACGATGCCGAACCTCTGCATTACTAACATGGTGTTGCCACTAGATGTCAGCAATCCTTCGGAGACAGCGATGATCAAACACAGAGAGTCGTCTAACATCCTCAACTCGGAGAGGTCAGGTTTCCCAATCATAGAGCAAAACTGCTCTCACCGACGCGTTGTAGATCCGACCCTCTACAGCCAGACTGAAATGACGAATGCGCCATAGATGGCCCAGATTGGCATAAGCCGCTCTGGCTTTCATTATACGTGCATCAATCTCATCACTCACGCCACCACCAGCACTTATATAGCTACCTAGATACACGAACTTCTCAACTACTTCAATCTGCTCACCATCCAGGGTGAGTACAGGATTAGAATCCTGCCAGTCTTGTAGAAGTACTTTGCACTTCGAAGGTGCAAAGCACCATCTCAAGCACATACCATACCTACGGACACTGATTGCCAACTGATTAAGTGCGGATTGCATGGCTTGGGCATTATCGCACAGTAAGACAATATCATGCGAATACTCAAGGTCGAGAAGTCTTTCTCCAGGCGACACATTCACACCTCTATTGCTTACATCCATCAGATCTGTTTCCAGAATGTCGTCGATGGCCAAGTTGAAGAGGAGTGGTGAGATTGGGCAACCCTGTCTAACCCCACTACTCGAATGGAACAATGGAGAGAGGTGGTTGTATGCCCTCACTCTGCCTGAGGTGTTTTTATATAGGGCCTTCAGGATGTTAATAAACTTCTAAGGCACACCCTTATTCAATAGACAATCCCAGAGAACAGTCCTATCCAACGAATCGAAGGCAGCCCTGATATCAAGAAACACTACGATTGTTGGCCTGCGATAAGTATGACGGTGTTCTAACATTTGGCGGAGGGTGAAGATATGATCAATACATCGTCGGCCAGAACGAAAACCAGCCTGCTCCTCGCGAGTCAATCTTTCTTTGGTTTTGAAAAACCTACGAAGTATGACAGAAGCCAATAGTTTGGACTACATCGTAAGTAGACCTATACCCCGATGGTTGTTACAATAAGGACGTGAACCCTTTTTAAAGATAGGGATAACTATCGACTCGTTCCAGGATGTTGGAACACTCTCTAGTTCCCAGAACTTTGTAAACAACACAGTCAATTCCTCAGTCAGAAAGTCACCACCATCTTTAAAAAGGGCCGGAGGTAAGTCATCTCGGCCTGGTGATTTGTAGCGCTTCAAGAGTTGGAGTTCCTTGCACACTTCTGCCTCAATTGGTGGACCAGTCGTTACCGGCCATGGAGGGCAGGACAGTCTGACCGATGTTGCCAGAGCAACAGGCCAGTTGGACTGCCCTTCGAAGAATTCTACCCATCGTCCAAGACGTCGATGGATGTTAGTGATTGGCATCCCATCATCCTCGCAGATTGTTTCACTCACACCAGACTTCTTGCTGCCAGTGGCTCGGATGAGTTGGAAGAGCTTCCGGTAGTTACCAGATGCAGCTGCTGCTTCCAGCACATTAGCACGCTTCGACCACCAGGCTTCTCGGTGCTCACGCAAGCTTTGCCCAATTTCATTACGTAACATCCTTCGTTTGTGATCAAACTCACGGTCACCCGGAGTAGACCGACGGGCTTCAATGAGTTGCAAGGAACCAGAAGAAACCCAGTGCTTATAAACGGGACGTTTCGCGAACCCACAAGTGACTTTACTCGCCATTTTCATGGCTTCTTGCAATTGCAACCAATGCTCATCTATACTTTTCGGTGGAGTGGTAGCTAGCCTAGAGCCTAGCTCAAATCGATACTTACTTGCAACAGAAGTTGCAACCAACTTGCTGACATCAATCCTTTGGTGGCGGTCACTTCGTTGTCCACTGAAAAGTAAGGTGAGATTGGCGCAGACCAAGGCATGATCAGAGTCCAGATAGGTACTCGAAAAAGAGCGGCAGTCTTGTACACAACCACGCCAGCGGTAGCTGATCGCGATGTGATCAATCCGAGTCCAGGCTTGAGATGCAGAGGGAGGACGCCAGGTGGCACATTGGCGATGACTGTGGCGAAAGTTAATGCTAGCCAGAAACAGGTTGTGGTCTGTGCACAGTTGCAGTAGACAGTCCCTGTTATTTCACCTGCGACCAACAATTTCCCATCGACCACCCAAACGACTCTCTTTTGTGCCTAGACGCCCGACCTGAGCATTCAAGTCTCCGGCTAGTACTACAATATCTGTCGAACGCACTTTCTGGAGAAGAACAGATAATCACCTCATTAGACATCAACCATCTATCAAAGTTGAAGATACTTTCAAGATAATTGTATGCAGCGAACAGCAGTATATGGAGAAAATTCGCTTACATGGGTAAAACGATAGAATCAACTTTCGCGGAAGAACAGATTATATGATTAAATTTTAACTCACAAAGGCTAATAACGTGAATTTTGAGGGTTTGTAACTGTTTTCTTGTTAGGTTAGGTTTAAAAAGTCACAAGGTACATGTAAACACTAATGTGAAACGTTGTTGGAAGGTGTAATTAGTTCTAATTGAAATTTTTAAGTCTTGGAAGTACAGTCAGTACTTATTATCATTTTAGTGTGGGTCGACAGCATACATCGAGTTTAGATAGGCATGATTTTTAGTAGCAGTGACAAATAAAAACATTTCCAAACTAATCAGTTTTGTTATTAGAAACTCGCTAACTACTAAATTGTGAGATGAATCTGACGTGCCCAGTAGTATAATCATGATTCCAAAGATAGTTTGTTATATTCATACTATTAATGAAAGACTAGTTTGACCTATTTTGGTGAAGAGGGTGAACACTAAACATTAGATGGTGACTTCACTAATAGTGAGTGCAGATCGAAAATGTCTCGATCACCATTAAATTGGAAGAAACAACTTTTGATGAAGATCTGATTGCTAATAAAAAAACAACTTCTATTCGTATCTAAACATTCAGCCGACGTTAAGATTTAAGCCAAGCGCATTTATATGATACCATCCAGATGACTGGCGAACCTATTTGTCTGCATCCTACAAGAGATCTTATGGGATGTGACTCAAAATAATGAAAACAACTTCCCTATTAGTTATTTGACCAGAAATCAAATACATGACTACCAACCGCTACGTTAAAGGTCTTACTCATGACACACCCTACTGTGATTTGAATGGTTAAGGGGTTAGTTAAAAGCTGAGCAAATGAAATTGTACTGAGTACCATTAAGTGACTCAATTATGGAAAGATTTAACAGTGTACTTGTTAGCTAACCGACAATATTTTTGTTAAAAAACGATGTAAACATCATACAAACTAAGGAACTATATTTAAAATGGAAGATTAACTTACACAAAAGGTATGCATATATTTTCCCCCAGTGAGAGCGAGATAAATTAATTGCTTTTAATGCATCAGGTCGATTAGGGAATTCAACAACAGCGCAGATTTTGACGCCGAGTTGATTATGTAGTATTTGTGAACGTTTAAGATCAGATGGTATCTTGCGGTTTGGAAACAGAACGCGCACTAAAGATGGAGGATGGCCATTTATCTGCAGGGTAAAATGAAAACAAAAGTAGGATGTTTTATGATGTAATTTACACATTGAGCTATCTTTTTTATATTAGAGGGACTATTGTGCAAGGATTAATGAGATCAAAAGCAAAAGACTTCGTATTAATCAAGACTTAGTTAAAACTTGCAAAGTCAAGAAAATTCAGTACACGTGTCCGAATAAGGGGCTCAACCACCAAATCATTGACCAACTCAATGAGCGAGTTTCATTTTGATCCTGATGCTGGTGTCACATTTGAATCATGGTTCAAGAGATACGAAGACATCTTCCAAGTTAAGTTTTCTCATCAAGATAGCTTTTTGAAGGTGAGAATTTTACTTCGTAAACATGGAGCAGCTGAACATGAAAAGCATTTGAATCTTATCTTGCCAAAAAAACGTCGATTTTTCATTATATTGTTGAGACCTGAAGGTAATTTTGTTTCATGTACATCATTTGTTAATAAGCAAAAAGAGAGTTCCAAGTTGCGTCCACATTCTGATGAGCAATTTAAGTATCTTATCTTTGTATTAGGGTTGCAGTCATTGTCAGACTCAAGCATTCGTACTAGAATTTTAGGACGAATCGAGTCAAATCCCAATCTTACGTTGAAGGATATTACAAATGAATGCCGTCACATTGTTAATCTTAAAAATGATGCTAAAATGATCGAACGTCCATATCCCAATCCATTTGGTTAAATGAAAATTTCTCGTTCAGACCGCACTATTAATGTCGCAAGGCATGATTCACGAAAATTTCCTAGCCCGAACCGAATTCATGATGTCCATGAATCTAGTTCACGTCGTTCTACAAGGCCTCCTACTAGTTGTTGGAACTGTGAGGCATGGCATTTTTCGCGTTTCTGCCTATTCAATAAACATAATTGCGCAAATGTGGAGTAACTGACCATAATAAGGGATTTCGTAAACACAGAAAACCCTTTTACTATTATCGAATACCAAAAAGGATCAATTATGTACATGTATTGTCGAAATCTAACTCCCACTAATTACGCAAGTATTTATTCTATTAATGTTAATGATCGCATTATCACTTTGCGGTTGGACACTGCATCCGATGTTACTTTGATTTATCGTAAAACTTGGCACGAGCTCGGTTGGCCAAGCGTTTATCCTACTGACGATTGCGTAAAGAATGCATCGGGCATCCCAATCAAAATTTCTGGAATTATCAAATGTACAGTAAGATCTAATGATTTAATAATTAAACCCAAATTTTATGTTGCTGATGAATCCTTCAATCTGTTGGGTCTTGATTGGGTCACGAAGTTAAAAATATCTGATTACCCATTTATTTTATTTTTATTTATTTGAACACATAGATATTGGTACAAGAGGGCACCAGATACATAGGCGCCACACAAATCTCACTTGATTTGTGTGAGGGCTGTGATACTGCCCGGGCGCCCAAACCGAAGCACGTTACCCATTTAATCTAACTTGTAATCTAGATTCAAAAATGCTCGATCAGTTATCCGATTTGTTATCAAGTATGTTTATATCCTCATATGATGCACAAATGGAGGCAATTTTCCAGGGATTTTGAAAATAACCATGAGACCAGGGCAAGACCGAAAAAACCACCAGGAATAAACCCGAATTCAGCCTCATCTAAGGGTATCTCCTGTGCTGATTCAGTGTTCGGAAGGAAGACTCCGACTTCATTTAATAGCATATTTTCAAAAAGACAAGATTATAAACCCAAGGCGAAGAGAATTGAACATCAGTTTTCTAATGGGCGACATGTAATCCACAGCTGCGATAGACGACTAAATTCAGATAAAGAACCTCCTAGCTGAAACTTGCAACTAGATTATTTGATTGAGTTAGTTTAAAGCATCAAAATCAGTGCATAAGTGATGGTCAGACAGTAGGGAAACCATCAAAACATTTTCTTTAACGCTTTCAGTTAAATCCAAGGAGCAAGACTTATTTTTCAGGAGGAAAAGGTAATATGGAGAGCCATTGATTGACCCTCTATATCACCATTTCTGTTGTTTGGTTGGGAATACATATTCTTAAACAATGGATGATTTTAAGATAAAGACATATGGATATAATAACCATCAGCTTGAAAAGCAGTGAACTGTGTATGGACCGAAAACAGGTTAGTGGTGAGCTCAGATGCCCTAGAGAACTTTTGGAGGATAGGGAGACGACATCAACATAGTCTGGTACAGATGTGTGTTGGCTCACGTTTCCTATCCGATTAACACGATCAGATAAAAACAAAAGGGATCGAAATCATGTGATAGAAATGATAAAAATATAAAACACTGAGAACATAGTCTGGAAAAACATGTAAGAAGGGATAATAAAAGTTGAAATCAGACGCTACACAGGGGATGCATTTGCGCCATTATGAGGGATTGAGCCATGCTAACTAGTCTCCAACCACTGATCAATTACCTGGTCAACCCCAACCAGGCAGTCTGAATCTACTAGCATAGCTCAGACTATAGGGTAGCTAGAAAATTGTTGGTAACCATAAGGAGAACGCCTTTCTTACTGGATACGAATTACCACTGGCTAAAGTGGGTTTTTTCATATGAATTATGATACTTAAAAGTGACTTTACACATGACACATTTGAACAGGTTAGAACATCTTAGAGGACACAGCAAGGATGTTTAAAAGCCAAGAGTGAACTATCTCTGCAGTACATGGTTACCGATAGTTTGACCAACTTTTAGCCAATGTACTATACTTCTACATGAACATGGGCTTTACAGAGTATATAGGTGTCTGCGAGTCAAAAGTGATCAACGTTGATATCAGCAAAGCTCTCCTTAATGTTCTACGCACTAAGCTTTACCGAAGCTGGAAAACTCAGAAATCTTTCCGTGCCTGGTTAGTTAGGTTGAAGACAGTTTTGTTAGTTGCTGAGAGTACGAATCAATCAGTTGGTTTACACAGGCCCACTGGAGTCTAAATCGATATATTGTGTACAAGTACAGGTCCCTGTTTACATGGCAAGTTAAGCATCCTGAAAAATACAGAGGACCGCTAGACGCGCTGATCGAACGCTTGAGAAGTCATGTCTTTTGGACTGAATCTTCATGATGGGATTTAACAAGCACAAAACCATGCCAAAAAGGCAATAAAAGATCCTTAGTCTGCTTTCAAAACACCTAATTAGATTCGCGTTAAACGCGAGCCTAAAAGAAATACCCGGAAACTAGAGGTACAACTGCAGTTTGATCTGTTCTGAACATCTTGGCGCCTACCTAAAAGCATTGGTGATCCACTGTTACTAAGTAAACAATCTCGTTGAGCGAAAGCTTTTGCGCCATTCCCAACCATTCTAATAAGCCTAAATTTGCCGATGATAACGACTGAATTTTATCGATACAATCACTGTCAAAATTCAAAGAAACAAAAGGGGTTGGCTTACCGTGAAGAACTCCTGAATACTTTCCACTGTGACGTTCGAATTTTCTGGGAATTCCGACAATATGATGGTACGGTAGTAAACGGATTTATCCCATACGGGCAAAGGATCAATGCGTCGAATTGTGTTCCCATCTTCTGACACCTCAATTTTGGTTGAAGCTGCCAGTGACTGACGAATAACGCTAAGGTCCGTCGTCAAAGACTGGAGTTTTTTAAAACCTGCAATTACAGAGAGATCCACCCATCCCTCCTTTGATGACTTGACTAAGTTTAGAAGGAATTGGTCTTTTAGAATATTTGCATCCGAGAAATAGAATTCACATTGTTTGATAATCTTTTCATTCATGAGCTCTGATTTCGGCTTATTGCATACAGCAATATTTTCTTTGTCCTGCAGTACCGAATAATCTGAAAACTCACTGGGACTCAACTCCATCAGGTGGCGTCCGGCACGGTAAAAAGGCAACACTTCAGGGGTGTCGTCCACTGAAGGAGGTTGCGAGCACTTGAAGGTCAAACTGTCGCAAGATGATTGGTGCGTCACATCGACAATTCGTGAAGTTTTTCAGAAGGGGTCAGATCAATACATTTTCAGATTTTGATTGAGTTCAGCCACACCATATCTGATAACGTCCATTCTTCAAGTAACGAAGACGATGCCATCGTGATGATGCATGATATAGGACGAATCTTCAATGATATTACGTTATCTCGAAGATTTACAAGTTGGGACAATTTTGAGATCTGTTTGAAAGAAGTAATATGACTTCTGTGGTTAATAATTATTTTTTTAGTATACGCATACTAAGTACGTTATGTCCGTATGTAAAAAGAACAGTGATGTCCCAACTCTAAAGTATTTTTTCGTGAGATATGTCTGTACATATGGACGTAAACGCAGTTCGTCAGAGTCAGATGCTTGTGTTCAGGGTGTAGATGATGATAGTGATCATCATTCTTCCGAACAGCATACAACTTATAACTCGCCACCATAACCTAGACAAATTTGTCTTTTTAAGAAGATGACGTCGGTCATCTATGTATGCTTTACTTCAAATGAATTTATTCTTCAGGTCGAAATATTGCCATTGTCAGTCTGGATTCTGGGTCCGTGCATTAAATGATGAGCTGAAAGTCACCTCTATTAAGACCGTGAACAACCATCCTTGCACAAAAGGATATATTTCTGTCGATGCATTTGACGTCAAGTGAACGCTTATATTTAAGAACGTTTCTATTGAGTAATACGCCAACTCGTAGCTTACGGAATCTGGTTTCTTGGAAGTTGCATAAACAACTTACCAAGGGCGATACCGCCAAAATTCGTTGACAGTTGTACCCAGGTTGTTGAACTCACATTGTAATTAATTGAGTTTAGACACTGAAAATATCAATGACATTTTACAGCTCGTTTAAGCAAACACTGAAGTTAAAGTACCCGATGAACATGAGAACACATCTATGATTTGCCTCAGTCGCAGGGAGCTAATAGCTGTTTACCACGCGTTCCCAGAGGTAATATGTATTGATTCGACTTATCAGACCAATAAAGATGGGTTAGTAACGAATAGTAATAAATTTATCTTAAAGTTTTCCACTGTTCCAGCTAGTGGTGACTGATAGTCTTGGGCAAGGACACACTGTTATGTATTCTATTTTCAGGCAAGAACGACGCGAAGATGTCGTAAAACCACTGGAATGCTTTAAAGACATAATATATGGTACCTATGACACACGCACTTTCGTCATGGATTAGGCAGCGACCGAAATTTCAGCAGTGCAGTCTACGCACAGTCATTCTAACATGGTACTTTGTTCATTCCATGTCTCAAGAGCATTCTTCAGGAAGGTATATGTGAGCTGTACAAATTATTTTCTGTAGTTCCGAAATCCTGATATACTCAAATGCTAGGAACACTCGCAGTGGTATTGGACAATAACCACACAATCCAAAAATCTGAACACGAGACTACTTGGGTAATAGATATTCAATATTTAACGCGGAGAAATACCGAACGACGGAGAAGGCGGGAACAAAAAATTGAATTGGAGTTGGTCGAATGGCATAGCTCGGCCATGCAGGCGTGGTCCCTACTGAATGCTACCTTATATCTCTTATTCATATTAAATATATTGTTCTATCTCTAGCCTAAGCTTGTTCTACATCACGTATTGGTGATTGTTACGATACGACGAGTTGGTGTAGACGATGGTGTGACTTCTACGTAAGATCTTATAGATTAGGCAGTTATATCATGACAATTCTGCAATTTTAGGATTAGGTCTATTATTAGCGCAGTACTAATATCATAGTAGACCATAATTCTACACACTTTGTGAAGACTAGACGGTCTGACATGTGAGCTTTGCTTTTCATAACGCATCATATCCAGATTTATTCAGAAGTACGAACAGCGGCACGGTAAAAACGTCAGAGCCGTTCGAAGCAGCCCGCCCTTTCCTCTCGACCACCTTGAACGGCCTGACTAGAGGCGGTCATTCCGTATTTCAATTGCCGTGGGTGTGTTGGGTCGTATGAGTAATGCTTTTTCATATTTAAGTCACCTTTGGCTGTGTGAAGAAGCACAAAATAACTGCCAACAGCATTAATTTAGCTTTCTCTGTTTTGTAGTGTACACGTTAGCTGTGTTGTTGCTTCGCACCTTGATCTGTGATCCCAACTGCTATAGTAATCATAAATTCCATAAGCTTCATACTATTCTGAAAAACAACAAATCAGTCTTGAGACAAACAATTAAACTTTGTTACCAGTATCAAATTCAATAGATTAATCAAACAGCAGGTAACAGAATGTACCTATAAGTCTCGTATTTGTAAACAGTGCTATTCATTAGAGATTTCGGATTCCGTTAATAGAAATTCATTGGTAATCTTTATAACAGACACATCACAAATTAGTGTTTTTTACAAATTGCTGAAGTTACTATGATCACAACATAAAGGCATCGTTCGACTTATGAGGAAAATATGACTAATTAGTGTGGCAAAAAGGAGATATGAGTGCTATAAATTTATGATTTAGCTTCGATTGTTCGTTCACTTTTCGTCACGTATTTTGCATGAATTACTTTGGACTTATGCCGAGTCAGTCTGTGATGCAGTAGGAATTCAAGAATTAGCTCATTAATAGTTGTTATATGATTCTAGGGTTGTGTCGTATCAAGGACTTGGAGCTCCAAATCCCCATCATATAACTGTGAACGCTTCACAGTCTTATGACAGTTGTTTATACCAAGTTTATGATGTAAATGAAATGTTAAGGGTTTCACAGTTCATATTGCCTTAACACTTTGATTTCAGTATATTTATGAGTTCACTAGCAGGTGACGAATAACCTATAAGTTTCTTATTTCATGTAAACAGCGCTCTTCATTTTCTAAACTTTCTAGTATTTCACCTAGACATTTGGTATAAACAAAAAAATTGATAAGCACAATTTAGATATTACTCGACAATATGCATTATAACTTTGTTCATAATTTGGCCAGTGATTGTGGATTCTGTTTACAGAAACTTATTCGTAAACCCTATGACAGACATCATAAATCGGTATTAACTACGACATGATTTTTTCACCATGCTGAGAAGAAACACACATCGTTCTACTTATAAATAATTTGTGACTGCTTACTGTGGCACTTCCAGTGGTGTTATACACTGTTGCTATATACGTTCATAAAGCAGATGAAAAAGACTATCAACCTCAATTCTTACTCATATAATTCTTCTCAGATACGTTAAATAATAATAAGTCACTTCAGTATAAAACGATGATACTTATAATAGATATAACTGTTTATGGCTAAATATTAGCAAAATATATAATACATTTAAATAGTTTAACGTTTAATTACTTTAACCTACATTTTATAAACAACTACCAACATCCATGTTCATAATCATCATAATCAAGGAGGTGAACCAGATGTAATAGGTTTTAAAGCTTATTTTCCTGAAAACGCAATTTGTGATCTATTTTTTGACTTGAAAAATGGTGAGCTTTACTTGCTTGAGTCTCTATTGTTACGAATAACCATGTTAGGCTTACTAAAGTTTCACTTAGGTGGTGAGCAACAAATACGTCAAACTACTAACAAATTGGAATAAAAACTATGTAACAAGCACAAACATTACGAAAATTGACGTGTGATGGAAAAAAGGCTGTTAATAGCTGATAAATAACGACACAAAAAATCCACGACAATATGTAACATTTGCGCGTAAACCCCTGGCTTACCCCAGTACCCGTGCCGTGGTATCCACTCCGCCAAACTTGGAAGACCCGCCCAGTGCGGGGACTCAATACTATTAAGCAACTTCGAACCTCGAAATTTACTACGCGGAAATAACGGGATATTATTCAGTTTGGATCTGGGTATGTATTGTTGAAAATAGGGTCTTGTTCTGGAAAGGTAAACTTGGTGTTTTCTAATATTCAATATAGTTGTGACGAGTTTGAAAAACGACATCATTGCCCTCACTTCCTGTTGTCTCTATATGATTTAAGGTCTTTGGTAATGTCTATTTGGAACTAGTCTGACCCATCTACTGCACTAATTATAATAAGTCTGGGATCAATATGTAGGTTTGTGTGCCTTGTAATCTGAATGTGTTTGGTGGACCATTTATCTGACTCCAATTAGATCGTTTGCTGATTATTATCGAAATATACATCCAAGCTACTCCCGTAAATTTTTATCGATTTCACCCACGTCATTGAATGACTGATGTGAATGTGAATGGATCTTGAATACATGTATGCTATGCACTGATTTGTTTGAACAGATAATCAGGGAAATCAAATGAAGAGGAGAGAGCGAAGCGGGTTAGAGAAGGCGAGTTATCCGACCCAATTTAACCAAGCGTTATTCAATATTTATAGTCAGGCAGAAAATAAGTTGCAGACACACATACGATCATATAAGAATAGTCAGGTTTAATAAGCCGATAAGTGACCAAGTCAAAATATTGTTTGAAAAGAATGAATAGATCGATCTGTCTAGAAGCTAGGATAGCCTGTGTAGTCTTGACATAGTATCAACCACTACAAAGTTCCTCGTAGGAAATGAGGATAATTACGAAATAAGTGTATGTTAACTATCCCCATATGTGCATGTTTCAGGCAGTAGAGTTTAAGTAACTGGCAGCTATCACATTACCAGGTAGGAAATTGCTCGATAGAAAAATAGCGAGAAATATGAGAGCTGAGACAAGATGATTACTCAAAAAATTAAAACTAATTAATTGGCAAAACAGTATGTAGAGACCAAACTGTGAAAATAAAAAGGGAATGGAAATTATAATAAGCGAGATAGGCATGTGATAGTGATTGGATTAGATAGGTCATAAGACATATCAGGTTCAACTAGTCCAAGTGAGATATGTTAGTCCATAAGTAAGTGTTTGTCAAGCCTG